GAGACCGGAGATCTCTTGGGGGAAGCGGCTGTGTGCTGGGCCACGGTGCGGGCTGCAGTCCCGGTGCAGCTTCTGCGTGCGCTGTTACCGCACCGTTAACGCGGGATAGCGTGCGGAGCCCTGCGCTCGCTGCCTGTGCCGCCAGCCTGCGCACGGCTCTGGTGCCTGGCAGATCCAGAGCTGAGCTTGCGTGTTTCTCAGCCAGTTCCCTTTGCAGGCAGGTACGTGTACTAGCAAAGTCTGTACTTGGTAACGTGTTTGAGGCACAGGTGAATAATCCAAAGAAGGTATTGATTCCAGTAGCAGGAGCCTTGAAAGAGCAGTTGGAAAAGTTTGTTCTTGAAAGGTCAAATAACAGCTCAGTTCAGGCTGCTGATGAATATTCTCATCTGTACCAAGCTGCTCAGGTCAAAGGTTGTCTCTAGGTCTCACTGCCTCTGCACTCTGCCGCTAGGGTAGTCCAGAGCAGCCTGTCTTAACTCACACATGAAATTACTTGAATTAGTTCACCAGTTTAAACCCTGTAAATGAACGCAGTTCAGCTGGGGAGCCCTCGTACTTTCTGCTCAGTATCTGTAATCTCTTCCTGCTGCTCTGTTCTTCTCATCATTTGAGTTCAGATCACCCTGAAGTGGCACAGCTTCACTCATTTGTTTTAGCACCCACGTGAGAACCACACTGAACTGTTCCACACTCCTTTGGGACAAAACATCTGGCTGGCCGGTGATCACCTTGCAGTCTAAGTACTCTGACCATTTTTCTAGTACAGACTGAGCAGTATTTAATGTGTACATAGCTAAAAAAGTGCACACAAGTCTGATAAATCTTTGTTTTCTTCCATCAAGCTTGCAGTCCCTTTATTCAAACAGCCAGATGTTACGCCAGACCTGTGAGAAGAAGGAGGAAAGGTATGTCAGGATTAATGGGACCATGTGGCAAAATGTTTTACTGTTGACGTTATCAGAGTTGTACTCTAATGCTGCAGGAAGAGAGGCTATTTGGAGAAATCAGTAGTTTTCACTTTAAAGAAGCAGGGCTCATCATGAGAAGAGAGAGGAAATATAATCCCTATTGCGGGATTCTGCAATCCTGCAGCTTCTTGATGGGTAGTTACAAGGGTGAGGGAGCCAGACTCTTCTTGGTAGTGCCCAGTGATATAACGAGGAGCAGTGGTTCCAAATAGTGACTTGGAGATGTTCCAGCTGGTCACAAAAGGAAAAAGGATCCACTGCAAAGGCAGTGCAGTGTGGGAAGATGCTTCACAGAGGGGCTGTGGAATATCCATCCTCGGAGGTTTTCAAGGCTTTGCTAGATGAAGAAATTATGACAGTCCCACAGTAAAGGGGAGATTGGACTAGAAGTTCCATAAGGTCCCTTTGTAAACCTCTTTGTGATTCTGTGCTTCTAGAAGTAATTCCTTGCAAGCTCAAAAGTTACCCAGAAAATTCAGCAGCTCATGAATGTGTGGGAAATTAGCAATTGTCATTAGCAAGAGATCACTGATATTGGTGGACTGTATACCATGTTGTAAATCCAGAGTGCTGAAGGCAAGAGGCTGAACCCGATTTTATTCGCTCCATTCCTGCCACCTCAGCTTGATCTCTTAAGTTCTTCCTTTTTGTTTGGAGCATAGTGTATTTTCTCTGCAACTTGTTTCCTCAGATCTGGTTTGCAAGCATGTTCAGAGCTCTGACTTTGTACCTCTCTTCCTTTTTAGACATCCCCAGCCATTTGGATGATCTTCCCCCCACAATGCTGAAGAAAGATTATGCCAATGTCCCAATAGTAAATAGGTATGATACAGGGAAAGGGAATGGCTGTTTTCGGAAGAGATTTGTATCTTACACACACATACCACGATACATGGAAGCTATCACCTGCTCAGTCATTAATCAGTGCTCTGTGGTCACTGGTATGCAATTTAGCACAAAAATTGCAAAATCATTTTGAAAGTCAAATTTGCAAAAGTAGTCACTGATTAGGGCTGTGTAAGGTTTTTTTCTTTACTTAATGTAAGATTAAGTGCTGGTTGCCCACATCTTCTGTGGACTTTGTAGTCCATAGAAAAAAGAAACAATCTTGAAATACTAGAAATAATCTATGCCTGTCTTGAACTCAGGTGCTAGAGAGTGTGTAGTTAAAACAACTCAAAATGAATGGCTGCCTCTGAAATTTGGACCTGGAGTTTAGGTTATTTACGCTTTCGTTCCAGAACTGCTCGTGTGTGGTGCATGGAGAGCCCCCAGTGGCATGACTGAGACTTTCACAGGCTTTGAAGGAGCTGGTCTTAAAATTAATTCTTTTGTCCTTGCGCACTTACTTGGAGGTTAATCTTCAGCAGCCAATTTGCACGTAATGTTTTTGGAATTGATAAGACTTCATTTGAAATTTCTGTGCTTGCCACAGCAGCAAAACTACTCAATGCTTCTGTAATCTCAGTATGCTTTTTAATATACTTCCTTTCTAGTTTATAAACTAATCTGCAATCTCCTTGCAGTGTTGACGATGTAGTGAAAAGACTGTTGTCACTGGAAATGGCAAGCCAGGTTAGTTTCATTCTTCTTGCATAAAAAAACCTAGAAGACTTAGTGAGCACATTTGTATAAGACTTGTCTATATTGTTAAATGCCCTTCACTTACTTTATTTTTAAGTGTTGCCCAGTGATTGCAAATCTGGGGCTGTTAAATACATGAGAGTGATAAGTCTTGTATGCTCTTAAAATTTATCATGCAGTCTTCTTTATGATAATAATTGCATACTAAAATGAGAGAAGAAAATATTAGGCAGTCACAGGGGAGATGAGCTGTGTTATGTTACTGCTGATGGTTGGCCTGTGTCCTAGAAAACAGTACACTGGACAGCAGGTGTTCTTCAAATTACTTTTACTTTTTGTATGCCCGGAAAACAAAGTAAGCAAATCGTAAGGTAGCACAAAGATCTCACCATTTCTTGCTGCTTACCACTTTACTTTTCGCATCTTTTAAAGCTTAAGGCTGCTGCCATGTGAGTTCAGCTTCAGTTTTATCTTCCATTCATAAGAGCAGAGGGGCCCCTTCAACACCCTTCTGCTGTATGGGATGAAGGGTGTGCCTGGACTCTTGGTTTGAACAACGGCAATTCTGTGCTCTCCCGAGATCTTTTTGTGCTGCTTCGCTGCTGTACTCTGAGCACTGTCCTGCAAGCAGCAGGTCCTTTTTTTTTGCAGCACTTTTTACACATTTTGTGATGGACACTGAGTAAAGCTATTAATTACAAAGCCTTTATCTGGGCATTTGGGAAGAGAGTCGGGGTGTCTCAGACCCGTGGTGTTCCTGAGAAAGTGACAGGCTCTTTTCTGTTATTCATAGAAGGAGAAGATGAGAGTAAAGACACAACAGCTGGTGGAGAAGGTCAGGAGGTCTCCCAACGACAATGGCTCCTTTGAGGTGCAAGGTAAGTTAAAGTAGAAGGGTATTGTTGGCATATGATACATCTCTGCTTTTATTCAGCTATTCCCACCCCAGCACTTCAAGTTTCCTGTATCAGTTAGAAGAATCTCCTTCAGGAGAGCGCCTGAGAGGCAGGTAGCCTGCAGTGTGCCCTGGAGGACCTGTTCAGGGTTGGGAACATTGCAGAGGCAGTGCGTGCACTTATTGGCGGATGTCTGTGAGGGTGCTTTCCAAATTCCTACTCCATATCCACCCTCCAAAGGCAGCACGTGCATTATTCTGCTTGAAGTGCTTATATGACACGAAGCATTGCAGTGCATTCATTACCAGAATGAGCTACGAGATTTAGCCATAGAACCCAAATTTCCCTCTGCATCAGAGAGCTCTGGCTGAAGCACAGTGTATGGACCGTGCAGGGATGAAGGCCACGCTGCCATTGACCAAGGTGCACTCCTTTATTGTTAATAAAGGCCTTCAGTTTCTCAGGATGCCACCAGCACCTTTCTCCAAAGCCTGAAATCACAAAGAGCTGGCTGCTGCTCTTAGAAAGAACCTCTTAATTTGCATCTGTTCTTCTGAAGCTTAAACCAAGAGAAGTGGAATGAATGTAAAGTCACCAGTAATTGAGTGAGTGCAAGAGGCATTTTACAGATAAATTCATACGATCTCTTGTTAAAATTTTAACCTCTAATTAAGCAGCTTCATTATAGTAATAGTTCTGACTCGAGTTATGTAGGTTATATTTTCTGGTTTGTTTTGCACTTATTCAGAGGGCTGTGCGGTAATATTTGCTGTGGTGCAGTGGGTACCCATGAGAACAGCAGTCCTCAGCTGGCAATTTGAAGGGAATGCAAACTGTCTCACCCTGGAAAGCTGCTGCTCTCACACGGCTTCTTATGTCTGTTCTTTATAGTTGCTATGTTGACTGCCAAGATACGCACTTACGAGGAACATCTTCAGAGGCATCCCAAGGTAACTATCAGTAATCTTGAGCCTACATGTCTGAAACAGCAGCTGTTCGGGTTGTTTTCTCAGTTTAGAACAAAAGGATTTTAATTCTAGGGATTATGGCTTTCCTAAGAAGGTTTATAAAATAGTTACAACTGTTCCCTGGTGCCAGTCTGCGAAACTGCTGGCTCAGTCACAGCTACGTTCTCACTGACTGAAATGTGGAGTGTGTTCTTTTTTTACTACATTGGTGGAAATGGTTGAGCAGATACCTTTGAATGGAGTTTAGCTAAATTTATCCTTGCTGCAGATGTGGCTTCACTGCTTAGTTTTCAATGTAATTAATGTTATCACTTCAGCAGCTGTATTCTCTCTTTGTTCTGCCTATGAAGATGTTTAGCAGACAGGACTCTCTTAATGTCATAATGACCACTTTGCTACCTAAAGCTACCTGGGTTCAGAGCCCAAATTTGAAACAACACAGCTACAAGTTTATGAACAAGATATATTAAAGATTCTTTATGCAGTGCAAAAGGTGGGAAATGGATTAATGAATTGCATTTGAAAAATGTGTGTAATTATTTGTTAATCATAAAAGCTTGAAGAGTAAAACAGAATAGAATTCAGCTTTTATAAGAAGTTGTACCAAATGTTACAGCAGAAGAGACCTTTTGAAATTACTTGGGTGAAGCCTGCTTTTGACACAAATTGCTTGTATAGGATAGGGAGTCAGATAGAGCAAAGTCACATTTATTTTCACACTTAATTTCTGGAAAAACAAAGGTAAATGCTTCTGTGTTGTTTCTGGAACAATACATTCGGGGAAGCAGAGTTTTTAACCAGTAGACCTTCCCTACAGCCTTTGCCTCCAAGCTATTACAGCTTTTGCCATCACCTGAAACTGCGTACAAGTTGAAAACAGTCTGCAGGGTTGGGGGAGGAAGGAGCCGCCACAGAATAAAGAAAGCAATTTCAGTGAAAAGTAAATTAAGTCTTCTCGGATCTCTTTGTAGTGACCTAATGTGTTAGCAGTATCTGCTGAGAAAAATTGTTCTAACATACTGTCCTTAACGTGATTGTTTCCTTTCAGCCATAATCTGGTCTATTCTAAGTAATTTATTGGAATGGAAGAATAATCTCTCTGCAATCCAGTGAATGTTATGTCCTTCGCAGGATAAAAATAACCGTCGTCGTATGCTGATGGACATAGATCGCCAGAAGAAGCTACTTGCCTATCTTCGCCGTGTCCGCTATGATACCTTTGAAAACACCTGCAAGCAGTTGAATATCCAGTACACCCTACCCCCTCCCTACAGGAGAAGGATGACCAAGCGTTGGGTTGTGAAGAAGGCTTTCTGCCTCAAGGTATGGAGCAATCTGGAGAGAAAGCTGGAGTAGAAAAAAAAAATCTCTTTATAGAAGGGCACAATTAAGACAGTTAGAGAAGACTGATAGGTTAGTCCTTTTAATCCATGCTTTGAACTTGAGGAGACAATGATAATTTCTGCAGAGAAATGCATAAGTTTGGCAAAGAGCTCCATGACAGACAGTTACATAGTGGGCAGTGACGCATGTGCTGCAGATGTACTGTGCTTGAGAACTTCAGATTGTACTGCTAGTTTGCTCAAAAATACAACATTCAAAACAGCTTTTTTTTCAAATCCTGGTATGGGAACTAGTATGTGAGACAATTAAATTTGATGGCAGCTTTGGAACAGAAATGTGGATACACCCACTGTCTACTCTCATTGGTGTAACTGCTGTGTGCAATATATCTCGGTATAACTGAGCAAAAACTAAAAGCTGGACATGCCTTCAGTCTGTAAATACTAAATTTCAGTCCAGTGAAATTATAACCAAAAGGCTGGGTAGCCATAACAGAATACCTCCAACTGGTACCCTGAGAACAGGGCTGGCTGGAGTCCCAGAGGAAGCGCACGGGAAGGAGATGATCTCGCTGCACGGCATGCCTCCTGGCCTCTGCCGCAGGGACGCAGATCCGTGCTGTGTGCGGCAGCAAGCAGCGGTGGTGGAGCAGCTCCGCTCGGCAGCAGGCAGCTTTGTCTCTCCCTTTCCCTCACCTCCTTATGCTCCTCCTGCAGGTTTTTCAGGAGGTGCGGAAGCTGAAAGCACCGGAGCGACTAAAGCAGAGAAGAGAGTGGCAAGCGAGAGCGAGAGCTGCGAAGGAGAAGCAGGCACAGTGCGAGGGGACGCCTGTGTAGCAGCACGTTGGGGCTGACAGCCAGTCTCGATAACAATAAATAACTACCTAGCGACCTAAAGCCTCTTTGCTTTTGTGCATGCATGATCTGCGCCATGGTGAGCACCTGGAAAAGTGCAATGAGCAGTTTAAGCGTTTTAGAAGTTTAATTTAAGGCTGACGTGCTGGAGTGTGTTGTGAGCAGTTTGATCTGTGCGAGAGGAGTACCTGGGGGGACGTCACCACCGCCTCGGGGCAGGGAAGGCAGGGGTGTCTTTAACTGACAACACCTCCGAGCAGCGTCTGTCTCCTGTCACTGCCCAGTGAGCCTGTAGGATTGTGCTGTCAAATAGCATTGACCCAGCCGCGCGGCAGCATTTGGCAGGGATTTGGGCTGTGGGATGACAAATGAGGGGAGAGAACGAGGTGAAATGCTGCTTGTTTGGAAATAAAGCAGCCCTGACAGTAGCTCGAAGTGCCATTCCTTCTTGCAGGAAAATGCGGGTTGATGCAGAGGTCTGCAGGTGTAGAAATCGTGTTAATAATCACATTTATATTCGTTCTCTGGCGGTTACCCGCCGTCGTTCTCAGAGGTGCCCGTTCTGTGTTTCACCGACAGTGCTGTTGCTGCTGACCGAAGGAGAATTACCAATACGATTACCGTGGCAGCTGTTGGCCGACTTTCTATGGCTTTCAACAAAATTTCCCCGGGTTCCCCTGAACTGTGGTGCAGGGGGTTAACCCAGGGCGGCGCCGGCTGGCACCGAGCTCTTTTTTT